AGAAGTAGTAGTAGTGGTGGTGGTGGTAGTAGTAGTTATAATGGTAGTAGTAGTTGTAGTAGTAGCAATATTGGTGGTAGTAGTGATAGTGGTGATAGAAAGCAGTGGTGGTGGAGGTGGTTGTAATAGTAATAGTGATGGTGGTAGTGGTAGTGGTAGTAGTAGTGGTAGTAGTAGTGGTAGTAGTAATCGTGGTGGTGGTGGTAGTAGTGGTGGTGGTAGTAAGCGTGGTGGTGGTGGTAGTAGTGGTGGTGGTAGTAATCGTGGTGGTGGTCGTAGTAGTAGTGGTTTTACTAATCGTGGTGGTGGTGGTAGTAGTAGTTGTTTTATTAATCGTGGTGGTGGTGGTAGTAGTGGTGGTGGTAGTAATCGTGGTGGTGGTGGTTGTAGTAGTGGTTTTACTAATCGTGGTGGTGGTGGTAGTATGGTGGTGGTAGTAATCGTGGTGGTGGTCTTAGTAGTAGTGGTTTTACTAATCGTGGTGGTGGTAGTAATAGTAGTAGTAATGGTAGTAGTAGTAGTAGCAGTTGTAATAGTAGTGATGATAGTCGAGATGGTGATGGTAGTGGTGCGGTAGTAGTAGTATTAGTTAATCTTTCATCTTGAGCCTAGGGCGGCGCATAGAGCAAGGTCATAACTCTCCTTATCTAGCCGTTCGTTACCATCTGTCTTAGTATTGGAGGTTTACTAGGCCCTTTGTTGAGCCTTCCCTGTTGATGGTTCTACGTAGAATCTCTCTTGGTCTTTCCTGTTTTCTTTTCCCTTCCGGTGTCCATACGAGTGCTTGATGGAGGGGGGGGGGGGGAGTTTGGTCTTATCCACTCTGAGTGCATTGCCGTTGCAGTTCCAGCGGCGCTTTCTTATATAATTGGAGACATTGTCTGGCTTGGTCTCGTCTTATTGCATATTTTTATTGCTTAGTATAGTATTCAGTACTTTTATTTTTTTCTGGTGGTACGCAACAGAACACGGTATCGGCACGTTTTTTATAAGCATAATTTGTTTCAGGCACTTTGTGGTGAGTACTGGAACATTTTTTTAAAAGACTTTCTGTATTTTTTTCTAGGCACAAAAGTCCAGATAGCAATAGCAGCAGCAGCAGTAGTAGTACACGCAAAAACAGTATTGGCTTAAATAGAGGTTCACCGTAAAATCGCTGTTATGAGAGTTGATGTGGCTTATGTTATTGTGAATAGTGTTTCCGGGAACAAATGTGAGCGTTCTAACAGAAATTGCATAACAATTTTAGTTCGCTAAGAAACTTGCAGTTATTGTACGTGCTATTGCTTAAAACATGAATGCATCAAAATGGTTGCAATTTTGCAAGGCAAATTGTAATCATAATGTCGTTTTGAGGAGTGATTTAGCGAAATCTGACATTTGATTTTCTTTAGTGGTAGCACACAATAAACTTGAGCACCTCATGAGACATTCCTTGTTATAGTAGTGATGTTTCTGTTGTTGTTGTTATTGTTGTTGTTGTTGTTGTTGTTGTTGTTGTTGTTGTTGTTGTTGTTGTTGTTGTTGTTGTTGTTGTTCTTCTTCTTCTTCTTCTTCTTCTTCTTCTTCTTCTTCTTCTTCTTCTTCTTCTTCTTCTTCTTCTTCTTCTTCTTCTTCTTCTTCTTCTTCTTCTTCTTCTTCTTCTTTCATCTTCTTCTTTTTCTTCTTCTTCTTCTTCTTCTTCTTCTCTTCTTCTTCTTCTTCTTCTTCTCTTCTTCTTCTTCTTCTTCTTCTTCTTTCTTCTTCTTCTTCTTCTTCTTCTTCTTCTTCTTCTTCTTCTTCTTCTTCTTCTTCTTCTTCTTCTTCTTCTTCTTCTTCTTCTTCATCTTCTTTTTCTTCTTTTTCTTCTTCTTCTTCTTCTTCTTCTTCTTCTTCTTTCTTCTTCTTCTTCTTCTTCTTCTTCTTCTTCTTCTTCTTCTTCTTCTTCTTCTTCTTCTTCTTCTTCTTCTTCTTCTTCTTCTTCTTCTTCTTCTTTCTTCTTCTTCTTCTTCTTCTTCTTCTTCTTCTTCTTCTTCTTCTTCTCTTCTTCTTCTTCTTCTTCTTCTTCTTCTTCTTCTTCTTCTTCTTCTTCTTCTTCTTCTTCGTCTTCTTCTTCTTCTTCTTCTTCTTTCTTCTTCTTCTTCTTCTTCTTCTTCTTCTTCTTCTTCTTCTTCTTCTTCTCTTCTTCTTCTTCTTCTTCTTCTTCTTTCTTCTTCTTCTTCTTCTTCTTCTTCTTCTTCTTCTTCTTCTTCTTCTTCTTCTTCTTCTTCTTCTTCTTCTTCTTCTTCTTCTTCTCTTCTTCTTCTTCTTCTTCTTCTTCTTCTTCTCTTCTTCTTCTTCTTCTTCTTCTTCTTCTTCTTCTTCTTCTTCTCTCTTCTTCTTCTTCTTCTTCTTCTTCTTCTTCTTCTTCTTCTTCTTCTTCTTCTTCTTCTTCTTCTTCTTCTTCTTCTTCTTCTTCTTCTTCTTCTTCTTCTTCTTCTTCTTCTTCTTCTTTCTTCTTCTTCTTCTTCTTCTTCTTCTTCTTCTTCTTCTTCTTCTTCTTCTTCTTCTTCTTCTTCTTCTTCTTCTTCTTCTTTCTTCTTCTTCTTCTTCTTCTTCTTCTTCTTCTTCTTCTTCTTCTTCTTCTTCTTCTTCTTCTTCTTCTTCTTCTTCTTCTTCTTCTTCTTCTTCTTCTTCTTCTTCTTCTTCTTCTTCTTCTTCTTCTTCTTCTTCTTCTTCTTTCTTCTTCTTCTTCTTCTTCTTCTTCTTCTTCTTCTTCTTCTTCTTCTTCTTCTTCTTCTTCTTCTTCTTCTTCTTCTTCTTCTTCTTCTCTTCTTCTTCTTCTTCTTCTTCTTCTTCTTCTTCTTCTTCTTCTTCTTCTTCTCTTCTTCTTCTTCTTCTTCTTCTTCTTCTTCTTCTTCTTCTTCTTCTTCTTCTTCTTTCTTCTTCTTCTTCTTCTTCTTCTTCTTCTTCTTCTTCTTCTTCTTCTTCTCTTCTTCTTCTTCTTCTTCTTCTTCTTCTTCTTCTTCTTCTTCTTCTTCTTCTTCTTCTTCTTCTTCTTCTTCTTCTTCTTCTTCTTTCTTCTTCTTCTTCTTCCTTCTTCTTCTTCTTCTTCTTCTTCTTCTTCTTCTTCTTCTTCTTCTTCTTCTTCTTCTTCTTCTTCTTCTTCTTCTCTTCTTCTTCTTCTTCTTCTTCTTCTCTTCTTCTTCCTTCTTCTTCTTCTTCTTCTCTTCTTCTTCTTCTTCTTCTTCTTCTTCTTCTTCTTTCTTCTTCTTCTTCTTCTTCTTCTTCTTCTTCTTCTTCTTCTTCTTCTCTTCTTCTTCTTCTTCTTCCTTCTTCTTCTTCTTCTTCTTCTTCTTCTTCTTCTTCTTCTTCTTCTTCTTCTTCTTCTTCTTCTTCTTCTTCTTCTTCTTCTTCTTCTTCTTCTTCTTCTTCTTCTTCTTCTTCTTCTTCTTCTTCTTCTTCTTCTTCTTCTTCTTCTTCTTCTTCTTCTTCTTCTTCTTTCTTCTTCTTCTTCTTCTTCTTCTTCTTCTTCTTCTTCTTCTTCTTCTTCTTCTTCTTCTTCTTCTTCTTCTTCTTCTTCTTCTTCTTCTTCTTCTTCTTCTCTTCTTCTTCTTCTTCTTCTTCTTCTTCTTCTTCTTCTTCTTCTTCTTCTTCTTCTTCTTCTTCTTCTTCTTCTTCTTCTTCTTCTTCTTCTTCTTCTTCTTCTTCTTCTTCTTCTTCTTCTTCTTCTTCTTCTTCTTCTTCTTCTTCTTCTTCTTCTTCTTCTTCTTCTTCTTCTTCTTCTTCTTCTTCTTCTTCTTCTTTCTTCTTCTTCTTCTTCTTCTTCTTCTTTCTTCTTCTTCTTCTTCTTCTTCTTCTCCTTCTTCTTCTTCTTCTTCTTCTTCTTTCTTCTTCTTCTTCTTCTTCTTCTTCTTCTTCTTCTTCTTCTTCTTCTTCTTCTTCTTCTTCTTCTTCTTCTTTCTTCTTCTTCTTCTTCTTCTTCTTCTTCTTCTTCTTCTTTCTTCCTTGTTCTCCTCCTCCTTCTTGTCTTCTCATTATTTTTCGTCTTTGTCTCCCATTAAAAAGCCGGTTCATATTGCGGTTTACATTTAGACAGCGATACATATACATCTTTTGAGAGAAGAGATCTGATTTCAACTAACTCGTAATGAAGTAGTCGCATTTTTTTTTTCTTGATAGGCTTATTAAAATATAATGTGTCAATTCCCCCCCACCCCCCTCTCCGCCACAAGCACCCTCTCCCAGTCAAATAAAGCCATGGATCCACAGGGAAAAGAAGGCGTTGAAAGGGCGATAGCATAGTTTTTCAGGACATTTCTTTCCCTGGGAAGTCAACAAACTGCAATTTATCTAAGAAAATCTGTAATAATGTTGTCAACGCTTATGTCATTTTAACACGTTATATTAAATACTATTTATGTAATTATAGTAAATTCTATTTTGCAGAGACAAAACGCTGCAGTTTGAATACTTCAAAGAAATGTACTGCTTTAAAAAAAAACTACCCTAACTGCATAATTGTATATAATAAAATCTGAATGACATGAATAATGTCAGAACAAATGCACACACTTATTATGACCCGTTTAGTGAGTCAGGAGATATTACAGTTTGAATGCACATAATGTTACAAGGGCGAATACACATGTTTACATTGTTCCGTTCGCATATATACGTAAACTGCGAAAGTCCAGTGTAAATACGAAGTGCGTAATCAAAGTTATTTTTTTGTATTAAAAAATTTTCGATGCAAAGATTTTGTTGATGTTTCTTGTTTGATTTCGCTGGAAATGATTGCCACATTAGATTGTTTAAGGTATTCTAGCATAACATCTAACATGTGTTGATATAAACTAAATCTTGGGTTCGAATCCATTTTGAGTCCTCGCAAGCAAAGGCGGTCAGCGTGATGTTGACCACACTACCCGCCGAGTACCAATTGGTCTATAAAAACATGGGTCTAGCATCATATGCCCACTGACTTAAAAAAGGGTTCTTTACTTACTTACAAATTGCACTTTCAAATGTACTCAAAGTATCTATTCTATATAACTAGAAGATCGCTGAAGTGGCGTTCTGGGCGAGTAAAACGCATATAAGGGTGTAAAGATGAGCTCTCCCAGCGTGTGCTCCGTGTCGTCCTTGTCTTTAATGCTAACTCTCCCAAACAGCATACACTCCTCGTAACTGGGTTTTCCTGGCAAGGAGAAAGTGAACAGACACATAATGAAACGAATACACAAGGTTTATTTAGTTGATTGAGATATGCATACACAGTCAGCCAGCAAACTACCTACCTACCAAATTGTCTGACTGTCTATCGGTAAGCTTTTTTGCTTGTATGTTGTCTCTGTCGTGTCTCTGTGTGCATGTATGTCTGTCATTGTCTGCCTGACTGATTTAATAAGCTAGCTTTGTTTTCTGTGTGTATGATTCTCACTCTGTAGTAAAGAACAGGAATATCAAATGTCGATACGGACAATATAAAAGACTGCGGCGGCTACCTCTCGCGCTTTTCAGTGGGCCACTTAGTGCTCTAAAACCTCTCGTTTAAAACACGGCGAAACGAAACCATCAGTGTTTTGACTTGGCTTGTTATGTCTTCCCATTCAGACAGTAGAAATATCACTCTCTCTCTCTCTCTTTCTCTCTCTCTCTCTGCTCCCTTTCTCTCCCGCTCCTTCTCACTTGTATATAAGGAGTAAGGCCAAAAGTGCAGAATGTTGGTAAGGCCTGCGTGACCAATTCTTTACCTTTTGCAAAAAGGATTATATGAACCGTTCGTCCTCTGTCTGTCGGTCTGTCTATTTGTCTGTCTGTCTCTCCGTTCGTCAGTATGTCTGTCTGCTGTCTTTCTCTATCTGCCTGCCTGCCTACCCGCCTATCTGACTGTCTCTCGCTCACACAACCTCTCTCACCCCATCTCTCTCACCACACAATAGATACACATATAGACACACGTACTACACATCAGTTTTAGAGACCTGTATCAGAAACTTACCTTCAATTGCTCTGTCTATTTCCTTTTCTAGCGCCGTCACGGTGATGGGAACCAGCATATTTACCGGCTTGTTCGGATTAGCTGGAGGTAATGGTCTTTGTTTGGTTAAAAATGGCAATGTGCCGATGACGATTTCGTCTTCGAATTCAATCTCATCCCACGAGCATCTGGCATCAGACCCCACTCTGAACTGAGTAGAACAAGGAACATTGTTTCAAAAATAAAAATGCAGCCAATTTCAAACGAATTTATACAGTAAACATTGAAACAAGAGTATTGTTTCGTGATGTTCACTACACCACAGGCTTACTCATTTCACACTATGTTATGTTTTTAGGCTCTCCTCCGAACTTCTACCCCCGCATTATGGCGGCAACAAGTATTCTTACGGGGCTCAGTCCTATTAAAAATATGCGAACTTCCGGCGACGAACGAATCGCGGCAAAACTAGGATCGGCTCCATATAACGAAACAAACGCTCTAACAGGGTCTCAGCGATATGTTAACTGCGGACCTGTTTTTGTGACTATGCCTCACTATGCTACGCGCGGCGCGGATGGGGGCTAAACTAGATGGCTGGGACTCACGAGCAGCAGCTACCCCATCTCCTGCAACTTCCTCCAATTAATTTGCTCGTGAGTCCCAGGCACCTAGTTTAGCACCCACCCATTCGCGCTGCGCGTAGCGGCGCGGGGGATACCGATACGTGGTCTCCCCGCCATGTGGCTTTTATCGTCAGTAATGTTGCATGTCTGGAAAATGTAAATGGTCGCTAGTATCGTCTGCAGAAACGCTCGAAAGTGTCAACGGTCGCTATTATCGTCTGCTACTATCGTCTGCAGTTTCGCTTCTCTTGAAATTGTCAGGTAATCCTAGTTTTGCCGCGATTCGTTCGTCGCCGGAAGTTCGCATTTTTTTTTTTATAGGACTGAGCTCTGTAAGGATATATGTTCGGCCGCCATAATGCCGGGGTAGAAGTTCGGAGGAGAGCCGGTTTTTATGTGTCCATCTGATGACATAACTAGGTGGAGTGATTTGATTTTGCATATTGAAAATTTTTATCTGCATATTGACAACTTCGATACTTTGTGTTTATGATGTAGATAATTAAGCGCAATTTGCTTATAAAGTAGCGACGGCACAGCGTTAGAGAATGTACCATTATCACCATCATCATCGCCATCATCATCATAGCAGCAGCAGCAGCAGATGCTGTTGCACTGTTATTTGTCACTTAGGGCTCACAGTTTAGTCCTAATTTATGTTCTGTCTGGTGCAATCCTTTCGATAGCTTGCATTAAATCAAGTACAGCATCTCTGGCCTCTCTCAGCAATGTTATCTTAGTGCTTCTATAGGACACCGTTTATCTTCAGTCCGTTTTTTTTTTTTCAAATCCTGCTTAGTTATTTTATTTACACTTTGGGGACTTTAACACTCTCCGGACTGAATCGCCAACACAGTTTCATTTAAACTCCTAGGGGATTTAACTGCCCTCACAGTATATTATCTCCAACCCCCTAGTTATGGCCCCTGGTACTTCACAGGGGGTATTTATTCCCCCAGCCCACGTGTGTAGGTATTGAAAAGGTAGTATCCAGTTTCGTCCTTTTTAGGCCGAAATTTTCCCCACTCTGGCTTTTGCCAGGGTCCGCAATATAGGCAGGCCATAATTATGGCCCATTGTCTGAACGCGGTTTCTGGGACCTCTCCACGGCGATCCTCATCCGCATGGTGGCACTTTGTATCATCGGGTGTTTATCGCTTGTGTGATGTCCTGGTGGGGTAGAAAGTCAGTCAGTCGGCGTGTAGGCATTCTGCTGAGAATCCATCGATCCGGCTGCTTCGAGATACCAGCTAAGTGATTTTGTGTATTTGTGTAGTATTGTTTGATTTGTATGTACTGATGTAGACTTCATAGCCGCAACGTTTATGTTTTGTTTGTTTTTGTTATATTGTGAAACTTGCTAAGATACTTTTCGTTTGGTTTTATATCTTTCCTTATTTATTGAGCGTTCGCTTTTCCTCGTAATGTGACCAGTATATTGCCATCTCCTTGCCTTTCTTGAATGCATCACAGTCAACGTTCATCAATGTCCTCAAACATTTCTTTTCCAGTGCACTTAACTTTCGTTCCACGACTTTAGTGATTCTCAAACGTTCACTTGGGTTGGATGTTGAATGTTGAATTTAGAATCGACATCACAGCGATCGGGACACCCCCTTAGCTCTCCGTCCCCATCTTTAGCAGCAAGCGAAGAGTTAACACTCCGATGATACCAGTAACTGTCTGATTGTAAATTTTCTCGCCTTTCCCCTGACTGTCGAGCGTCGGTCATATCCCCATGTAACTCCTCGCAGTGCCATTCTCGTCAGACCGTAATGATCTATCTGTGCCTCGGCACTACTACTCACTCTCAACATCCAGCTTGTCATACATCAGTTCACTATCAAGTGATGCAGAAACGGCTAGTTCAGAATACTTTAAAATGTGTAAGTTAATAAAAGGTGAAAGTTGACGCATGTAGAGCTGAATAATGTATTCAATTTGAAAAGGCTACGAGTTAGAATAAATAAAAGCCTGAGATGATATACTCCAACAATATTAATAGCATTCACAAATTTATGAGGAATTAGTTTAAATATGTCAAAAGAAAATTGTATTCATGAAATTTTTTTTTTCTAAGGCACCTGTAGATTGTGATGCCCTAATCTGTGGCTTATGCCTAAATCCGGCACTAGATGAACCTCATAACTTAGCCACCTCTCTTAAGGTCACAGATGAACCTCATATCGAATCCACTTGTATCATGGTTTTAGGTGAGCCTCACATCATGGCCACTTCTCTTAAGGTTTTAGAGGAACCTCATCTGTCAGTCACTTACCGTAATATTACAGATGAATCCCATTTCTAAGCCACTTTCCTTGAGGTTTTAGACGAACAAGTTACTTCCAATAATATTACAGATGAATCCCATTTCTAAGCCACTTTCCTTGAGGTTTTAGACGAACAAGTTACTTCCAATAATATTACAGATGAATCCCATTTCTAAGCCACTTTCCTTGAGGTTTTAGACGAACAAGTTACTTCCAATAATATTACAGATGAATCCCATTTCTAAGCCACTTTCCTTGAGGTTTTAGACGAACAAGTTACTTCCAATAATATTACAGATGAATCCCATTTCTAAGCCACTTTCCTTGAGGTTTTAGACGAACAAGTTACTTCCAATAATATTACAGACAAACCTCATCGTTAAGCCACTCGCCTTCTCCCCTGTACATTATTGACGAAGCTCACATAGAAATCGGGGTTCCCCTTGGCGTAGCGGCTAGACGCTCGCGAGCGGATCGGAAAGTCGTGGGTTCCCTCCCTAGTGGAGCCGGACTTTTTCAGAAATAACTGACTCCCAGGTCGACCCTGCCTTGAGTGGGTACCGCGTACAGTCTGTGGAAGTAATGGTGACTGGCGTGATGTTGACCACATCACCAACCAAGTGCCGATCGGTTTGTAAAAATATAGGTCTAGCCCTATATGCCCTATACGCCTAAAGGCGTGAAAAAAAGAAACTTTACCTAATTTTTTAAAAACTTTTTTATTCCACATATAAAACACCTCTTCCAGATTATCATGTCACGTACAAACCCACAGTATTAGAATTGTAATCGCCTGTCCCCCTTAAGTTACAGGCTCGCCTCACCTGTGCACCATGTGATCCCTACCCTAATAACTTCGAACACCCAGAAAAACTATTATCAGTGAAAGCCCTATCCATTTGTAATAAGTACAACATTTACTTCTGGGGTGATCCCCAGGGACAATCATTAAAAAAATATGCAGTAATTCCTACCTGTAGAATGTATTTGGAATTCATTAATTTACAACCTTTCAGGTGGGATGGAGGTAGAGGCGGTATTCTCATTCTCTCGTTCCAGATGTAGTTATCTCCTCGGGGTATCTGTTCTCTACACACGGTGCTGATGACTTTCTTCTCCTGTTTGAATTTCCCGCTGGCCAGGTATGTTATGTGCTGGCAGATGAGATTTGGGACAAAACAAATATTATGCTAATGCACATGGGGCATTTCCATGCCTGCTCAGCAGCGGCGTGTCTTAGCTAAAATAAGTAGGGGTGCAGCTTTAGAAAATGTGTAGTCAGTATTGTTTTTTTTATTGTGTAAAAGAAAACGAATATTTAAAATAAAATGAATACACAAATGTGATAAAATCCTAAACGGAAAAAATATTATTAATTACTAATTCTTCTTCTTCTTATTCTTCGCGTTCACCAGCTGTACACTCTAGCGGAAAGTTCTGGTTGATCGTCCACTATTGAACTGCAGTCCTGCTCCAGAACCTGAGTGTTGCGTGTGCATCAGTTTTACAGATCTCATTCTCCTGAATACAGACTGTTGGTTCCTTGCCTCTCCGGCAGATGCACTCCGACTTCAAAGGAAGCTCCCCAATTAGTCGACTCTTACGACATGCTTTTAAGGAGGCAGTGGGTCTATTCTTGTTTTCCCCACAATGGGGCCCCGGAACCCACACGGGGGATTAATTACTAATTGATCCATTTTTTTTTTAAAAAAGCGAAATATCCCTTTGTCTTATTTTGCTTTGAGCGAAAAGAGAAATAACACAGGGTCGGCATCACATTTGCAAGTTTCCGCCTCTGCCTTATACGTAAGTATGAACATGTTTACCCCACCAGCTCATCACACAAGCGATAAACACCCGGTGACACAAAGTGCACCATGCGGATGAGAATTACACGTGCAGAGGTCCCGAAATCCGCGTTCAAACGTCTGGTTATATTGCGGCCCGCGACAACAGCCAGCGTGGGGCTTCCAAATCACCCCCCCCCCCACACACACACACACAAATTGCATTTCACAACGCGGAAGATGAGGAACTGTCCTTATGTGCAGCTTCTTCTTTTATCTGACGTGCGCATGCGTACAAGAGCCAAACGCTATGTCACTGGAACTGTTAAATATGCAAATCCATACAATGATTTTGCAGTGAACTAACGGATGGTTACCAATATTAAGCTTCATTATCATCAATTCTCTTTCTGCCTAGTGGCACATGAGGCTTCAGATAGGACTTTCCATGCTTTCCTATCCTGTGCAATCTTAAGTGCAGTTTTCCGTGTCAGAGATGCCGCACTCAGGTCACTTTCCATCGTTCGTCTCCATGTTGTTTTCGAGCGCCCCATTTTTCTCTTTCCCTCTTATATCCACGTGAGAGCTGTTTTGGTAGGTATATCAGGATTCATTCTTATAACGTGGCCAAGCCATTTTCATCTTCTCTTGGTTATTATACTATCTAGAGTTTCTTAGTGTGTGACCTGAAAGATTATCATTAAGCTGAAGGATCGTAAAATTCACAAGTATAAGTAAATACCAGGTAAGACTCAGGAAACTGAAGTTAGGATAATATCAAGTGAAAATGGGAGTGCTGCATTTTCGCAGTGCATTTTCGCAATCCCAGATGTGGATGTTGATCTCAGCACGTATGCACACATTCCGTAACTTTGGTAAGGATTTAGTTTATAAAACATAATTAATCTGATAAACGTTTCCCTAAGATAAGCGTGTGGCTGAAAGAATAATCTGTTGGTGTTGTAAGCCATGCTGGTTTTAGCTATGACAGGCCTTTGTTTATATAACAGAGATGTGAATCAATGTTAGACGAAATGCGAACATAAATGATTTGAACTGTATAAATTACTCCCACAGAAGGAAAATGTGTCAGCCTACAACCACATGTCTATCGAAATATTATAAGGTTATTTTCATGAACAAATCAGGCTACAAACGCGAGCATGGTGTGGATCATCATCATCATAATCTCTTCGTCATCCTCTTCTTCCTTCTTCTTCTTCCTTTTCTTTTTCTTCTTCTTCTTCTTCGTCTTCTTCTACTCCTTCTTCTTCTTCTTTACATACGTCTACTCCTCCTCCTTTTCAATCTTCTTCTTCTGCTTTTTCTCCTTATCAATTTTCGACTGTTGCCGTTGTGTTGTGACCTACAGCTAGGCGGCAAAATCTACGCCTGTCAACAGTCTGTAGTCGCTTTTTCGACATTTTGTTAAGGGGGCAGTCCTACCTGAACTTAGGTACCACTTTGTTTTAATGAATGAACAACTAAAAATCAAAATGTCTTCATGAAATTTAGCACAACAGTTCACTCATGTATTATTATGTTGTTCTTAACCTGTTCAAACTTGCAAAATTATTAATAAAAAAAAAAAAAAAGTAAAATTAAGGAAAAAAGTAGATGTTGGTTTTAGAAAGATAAATTCTGAACTAAACTTACAGGAGTCCTGAATTTTAGAGTTAATGCATTTTAATATTACAGTTAGATCACTTCCTCTAGTTTGCCTGTTCTAGTAGCCCTTTAGAGTTATGAAGTTGTAAAATTGGGGCTGAAATGACTATCGAATTATCAGAGCAGTTTCTCTATTCTTGGTGATCAAGAACGACTCCTCGCAGCAACGGCAGCTCGTCTTTTTTGTTTGAATCTTTCTTTCTACGTATTCAAGAATATTTGATATTTATTCAGATATGGAAAAATGTATTTTAGAATCAAATAGCAGATCCTTTTCTAGTAATTCCCCCTGGTCTCTGGATAGTGAGTCGGACGCATGGGTGCATTGTTGCGCACGTAGAAAATCAATTTGCAGTTTGGAAATCGAAAAGAGTAGCCTTACGGCGCTGCCCGGGAAAAAATTGGACTTAAAAATCTACACAAAGTAATTCAGGATCCTCGCCAGTGCTCTGTGCTGAGCTTCTTTGGACTCAGACTTGCGATAGAAGAAGAACGGAGCACCCATGGGTTTCTACCCGTGTGCCATGATGCTGATCGGTTGTTTAAACCTCAAACCTCAGTCCAGAACATTTGCCTCCATCACAGCCAGTTGTTAGACATCTCGATCCTTACCAGTTCACGTGCCTCGCGTTGTGTGAATGTTTCTTAATGTCATGTGTGTCCTAGAGGACAGACACTAAAAAAAGACAGCAGGAAGGGCGCGCTCAGCTCGCTATACAAATGACATAGACAAAAGAGCTAGGAGCCTCAAGGTTAAAGATAATAATAATAATAATACTGTGCCGAATAGTATATAAATTTAATAATACATTTGAAATAATGAAATGTATGAACAGATACTTTTAAAGCAAATTTCTAAGTATATTGTCCCTCTTTTTGGTGGTCGACCCTGTCTCTTTCCTCAACAACCGTGTGTTACAGTACTTCTCCTTCACCATGATATCTAATATGGTTTGCGTATTTAAGTTTACTAGATACGGCTGAGTTTTCTTAAAGTTAAATCTGTGAGAATGTCAGTATTGTTGTCTTTCTTTACCTAATGGTGGTCTAAGGATTGTTCGGTAATACTAAAAAATGACTTTAACTGCAGATAGGAAGAAGACACAAACAATAATAATACAGGCCAAAGGCAGCGAATATACCAACATTATAATATAACAACATTAAGGTATGATGCAAGCACAATAAAATATATGTAAGCGAACATAATGAAATGAAACACACTGTACTAACTACACAGATAATTTTTCAGTTCGCCTGAGGTATTTACATTCATCTGTAAAATTACGTACGATGTCAAGAGAGTTACTCGCTGTGTGTTTACTTTTACTGATTTACTCCAAAATGTTTTCATTGGCTTTGTAGCACTGTAAACATACTGACACTTACAAACAACCACCCATCGTGATTGTAACTGACACAGAAATCCTACTTCGGTTCGGAGGTCAAGGGTAAAGAGCATTATGTGGATCGTTTCTCTGAGATATGCCGGTCCCTTGGGAAATGATCAGTGGACAGATTGGCTGGCTCTACTGTACAATTTGCTGGAATACTGTTGCACGATAAGGCAGACGTGGTTAAGGCCTTATGGGAGGACGTGTGCAATTTGGAACAGCAAAATAGTCATCACAATCTGTTGAGAATGATGCAGCGAGGAGTTGCGAAGGGATCTGGTCAATACTTGACGTTCAGAGCAAAGACAAGATGGACATATAATCAGATTGCTTCTGGCACCATGTTTGTGGCTTAGGCGTTTTGAACGCGCTACGTTTTGCCGGGGTGCCGGGTTCGATCCCAGCTGCGGGCCTTGCGCCTTCCAATTCCAATTCCTTAAAAAAAAAAAAAAAAATAAACTCAACCACGTTCAACCTGCTGCTAGCAACCGAAGCTGCCAACAGCTTATATATACATAAACAAACTGTAGTTATGCACGAGAAAAGGTCCTGCAAAATTTGTCAGGCTATAAATTTTGCAACACATTGTCTGACACTTTGCTTTTAAACTGTTCGCGAAAAACATTATTTTAAAAATCCCCTGTTCAAGTGTGAGTTCTAACTTTTATGTTCCTTGAAGAGCGGTTCGAGTTATCTGAACCCTGAAACAGGAGGTTGCAGTTGTTAAAATCCCTTCCATCTGCAACCTTAAAATCCCCCCCCCCCCCCCCCCAAAAAAAAAAAAAAACGTGCAAGACAAGTACTCAATTGTGACATGTTTATAGGGTATTATAAGGATGCAGCCAGGTAATGATTAAGACTATCACTAGTTGGGATTGGGTTTAGTGAGCCAGCATGTTTCTTGTTCTGTTTAGGTGTTCAGTTTTCGACATACTCCCCTCCCCCCCCCCATCCCCCCATCCCCAAAGGAGAGCATGGCATTGTAGAATAAGAAGACTTGTAATGTAAATAGTTCAATATTATACCAACCATTTTAAGCCTGACCTCCGCCCAACACGTGGAACTAGTGTGGTTTTCAATGTGAGAGCTGAGCCCTATTTCAGATCCTGGTACAAAGCCCTTTCTGTTGGTAGTGACTGATCCACTGAATCTTCCAGAAGGTAGACAGCAGCAGCCGGTGCGTAGCTCACCGCGGTACTGAATGGGCTCCTGGTAAAAGTGAGTATAAATCTAATGAGGATGTGAATCAAGATGGGCACATGTTTCAACAATTCTGAGAACAGGGATCTCATTACCTCATTTTGACTTTGGTCTACGTTGTGGCGTAGAGACGAAGTACAATTTACGGGAACATGCCCGTTTTTGTGCTTCATAAATTGGGGGTTGCCGGACTTTCTTTGTCTTCGCTTTCGCCGGCTCACTAGACTCAGAGGAAAGGCAAGACGGACATTTGACCAGATTGTGACCAGTATCATCAGTACTAGAATTTTGCTCTGGCTGCTTAAGATAAGGACACGACTTGCATGAGAATGCCCCGGGTGCAAGTAAAAAATCTCTTGGCAGTTGGAAATCGAAAAAAGCAGCCTAACGACGCTGCCCAGGCAAAATTTAGAGTTACAAATCTACCCAAAGTATTTCAGGATCCTCGCCGGTACTACAGAGCCTCCGCACTGTGCTGAGCTTCTTCAGATTCAGACTTGAGTTAAAAGAAGAACGGAGCACTTATGGGTTACTACCCGTGTGCCATGATGTTGATTCGTTGTAAAAACTTCAAACTTCAAGCTATTGTCATCAGTCCATAGGGCGACTTTCTGCTTTCACATGAGATCTGTTCATGCGTAACGATTGTTTAGGTAATTGTTCTGGCTGCACTCTTACTAGATGACCAAACCATTTGATTTTCTGTTTCTCAGCGAATTTACTGCATGGTGAGATTCCTTTAATCTGCCTTAATTAAATCCTTTCTAGCTTTGTCTCCGATGATTAATTTGGCTGCTTTTCCCCAGCCATCTGATTGCGCAGGTGTTAACTTTATGTAGTTTAGCCTTTGATAATGTCCAAGTCTGGCACTGGTGACACAGTATTGGTTTAAATATGCAGTTTGTAATATGTATGGGTAATAAATAATGTCTAGCCCTATATGCCCAATACGCATATAGGCGTGAAAAAAATTGTCTTTTGCTTTTACAGCCAAATATTTCTGCCAACGATGCTGTACGTAGAAAGTGAAATAAGACAACGATAACGTTGACGTTTACATACTTCCCTTACCTCTATATCTGGCTGCTGATTCAGATCTAAACTGATGATAACGTTGACGTTTACATACTTCCCTTACCTCTATATCTGGCTGCTGATTCAGATCTAAACTGATGATAACGATGACGTTTACATACTTCCCTTACCTCTATATCTGGCTGCTGATTCAGATCTAAACTGGGAATCACTGTAAAGGCCCGTTTCGTGTGCTGGTCAAATTTCCAGGGTTTGTCTATTGTGGCCTTTGCCCAGTAGCGGATGTATCCATAAGCTCCTTCGAATGATGGAGGGAGTTCTACTGGCAGCTGTAACTGGAAAGGAAAAGTGTGCTGTCCAGCCGGTAGCGGGTTGTTGGCGTCTTCAGTGTTGTTGTCTGGACGGAAGAAATCGTGTTTAATAGAATCAGATAATTATTAACACAAGAGATATTTGTTGCGAGCCATGATTTTTACCCTTTGAAAAGGACCTTGATTTTCAGGTCGACCAAGCCTAAAATGGGTAAAACGTAAAGTTCTGGGAAGTAAAGTCAGCTTACGAGATGTTGACATCATCACCCATCGAGTGCCGATTAGTATATAAAATATAGGTCTAGCCTTGTACTCCCAATGCGCATGAAGGCGTGGAAAAAGGTTCTTTACTTTATAAAAGATGCAACAAAGCAAACACATTTATTGGTTTAATTATTGGTAGCGCAGCAGGGCCTTTCCAATCGGGCAGTTCACAGGGCAGAGAGCATTAAAAGAGAGGCACCCTGGTCCTCCTCGGGGTTGAAGCGTGAAGCTGACACACCACCTTCCTAAAAAGTGCATTTCGTCACGAAGCTGATGATATACTTTATGTAATAATTCTACTTGTGTATAGCCAACTTATCGTGCCCTACTATTTCCATCAACAACAGGCTGCATTTCTGGTGCCGACTGTTGGCTTTGCAGTCTCTAGTAACTGCCATACGCGTTTACTGCGTGAACATTTTTATAGATTTTGCAAAGATTAATTATTCACTGGTTTTTCAAACGGGTAGTGAGGGAATTTCATTTGAATTTTCACTGACACAGAAACGGAGCAAATGTGGGTAAACTGGACTGCAGTGAAGTTGAAACCCCGACCAAGTCAAATTTTCGGCACAGAACATGTAACAGTCTGCCTGTACATATATGACACTCTTCCCTCATCGCTCAAACTGAAGCACCAGACATGTTGTTTTCATGAGATTTTGTGTAATTGTTAGTTAGTAGTTAATCGAAGATTATTCTCACTGCACATTAGACAATTCCATAAGCGCTACGATTCCATCTTTAGTACAGTGGAACCTCGCTTAACGAGCATAATTCGTTCCACAGTCATACTCGTTAAGCGAAACACTCGTTATGCGAAACAATTTTTTTCATATAAATTAATGTAAAATACGATAATGCGTTCCATGTCGAAAAAAAAAATACTCACAAAATGCTATGTATAACGTTTATTCAAAGAAAATTATATACATATTGTTAAGGAGAGTGAATCATCTTCATCTTTTCTCCAAACGCGGAACGAACCCACCTGGAATGCGAATTTGATTTGCAGAAGAAAAAAAAAAGTCGAAATAATTATGAAACATAGCTATTTATTTTTTTTAACTAGAAAGATGCCTAGACACATTTGTTTTTGCCGACGCTTCAAAATTTGGCGAAATGCGACACAGCATTGTCATTTAATAAAGTTGCAACGATAACAGCCCCTTCCTTATTAGGTTGATGCTTCTCAATGTGAGATGGAACAGTTTGTCATGATTTCAGCGATTCTCTTATTTCGCCAGAAAATTGTTGCTTTTCTGTCACCTCCTCCTTTTCCTCTGGTAAACTTTCCTTCAAAACTTCTTGCTGTGAAACACAATGCAACTCCATAAGCTCTTGGGTGGTCAGGTCTTGGCTGTGCTCTTCCACAAGCTCTTCGATTTCACTGTTATCTAGCTACAATCCCATGATTGGCCAAATACACAATCTCGTTGACTACAGGATCCACGAGTACTGTCTCGAACCCCTCAAAGTCACAAATCGACAACGCTCTTCGGCCAAAGCTTCTTCCAAGCAGAAGTTAGGGTTCTCTTGGTAACGCCTTCCCCCGCCTTGTCGATCATCTTGAGGCAGGCAACGATGTGGAAGTGATTTTTTTCCAAAACTCTTTGAGAGTGAGGTTGGTGCCTTCAGCCCCCTGAAAACAGTGCTCGAAGAGTGCTTTAGTGTAGAGCTTCTTAAAGTTAGAAATAACCTGATCCATGGGCTTTATTAACGGAGTGGTGTTGGGAGGCAGAAACTGGATCTTGAACATACATTCTTCAGTTGTAGACCTGAATGATTCATGCACATATATCACAATATAACACAAGTTTGAGAAAATGTGTGATCACAAGCGACACTACGATGCTTCTGGAACGATTGCTAAACACAGACTGATTTACCATGCTTACAATTCGAGACTTCCCCTCTCCTCGCCACTCGTTATGCGAAAGGTCGCTCGTTAAGCGAGTCATTCTTTTACAATTTGTTTTGCTCGTTATGCGAATTATTCGTTATGAGAGGTGCTCGTTAAGCGAGGTTCTACTGTACTTCCCTCAGCGTGTGGCGACGGTTTTGTGTTGGTTTACTATTCTTCTTTGGCTACATTTGTCTAACTGTAAGGTCGTGCATTACCTGCACTTTCATTTTCACCGTCTACCAACACTCCTTTCTCCTTTTCCCATTGAAGCTTTCACCCCGTCCCCTTTCCTTTTTATTACCTTCCATCTTATCGGGATCTGTCATCTGGAGTTAATGTTCTCATCATCGCAGTGATCAGATACAGTATCCCGCCTCCCCACTATTCCAGAAAATGTTGCATTTTCGCTTTAAAAAAGTCTTTAGAAGTGATGTCTGCAACTGCTCGTGTTCATTTTCATCCTGGGTGGAAAAGCCACGAGTGTAAAGAGAATATGCTAGTTAGAAGTATATGTTGATCTAAGAAACTGCCCGTGTGTGTTCGCACGCGCGCGCGGCCGTGTGTGAATGTGTGTAAGTATTCATATTGTGGGTGTGTTGTATTAGGTGGATATGCCTACCTGTCTTCCGACTTGCTTCCATTTATGTCCGGAAGTAACAGAAAACAACTAACAGGAAGTTTAACAGAAGGGAAGGAAAAGATGCGCCCAGATTAAACTGCAATTACTCCTTTTTTCTCTCCGCTTGTGTGTTCCGGGACTCCAAACATGCATATAATAAGATACCTTGTCGTTAAATTTCTGACTCTGTACAGCAGTGGTTAAACAGGAAGATGACGGTTTTGATTGTAATAATGACGACCTTCGTTTTAATTACGCAATTCTTCATGTTGATGACAGAGTAATTATGCGAATGAAGATAAACTGGCAGCAGATTCTAATAACAGTGAACAAGAAGCTTCAGTAGCAGAAGAAGGAAAATAATAATAATAATAATAATAATAATAATAATAATTATAATAATAAAAAGAAGAAGAAGAAGAAGAAAAAGAAGAAGAACAAGAAGTAGAAGAATAAGAAGGAGGAGGATAAGAAGGAGGAGCAGGAGAAGGAGGAGGTCAAGGAGGACTAAGAAGAGGAGAACGCAAAGAAGAAGAAGAAGAAGAAGAAGAAGAAGAAGAAGAAGAAGAAGAAGAAGAAGAAGAAGAAGAAGAAGAAGAAGAAGAAGAAGAAAAAAGATGAAGAAGAAGAAGAAAAGAAGAAGCAGAACAGGAGGATACGGACGATGAAAAAAGAAACAAATAACATTTGAAACGAATATATTAAAATTAAATTTCAAAACTGCACGAAGAGAACTGGGCAACAGGCATATTACATTTGTCTTTGCCTGTCAAGTTGAGACTTCCTGGGTGGCATAACGGCAGACAACAAAAGTGGCAGATGCTAAACATTACACAAAATGAGATCTGATCGGGATGAAGACCGTCTGTGAGACAACAGACGGTGCTTTGAGTTTCTTGGGAAATTTTGTGTTCTTTGTTTTGTTAATAAAGTAAACAGTAACAAGAAAACAATGGATTTGGCACTATTTTTGGACCAGAGGATTTCAAACATGAGCTTAAATGTGAGAAGATCAACATGCGCAAAGTTTTTGTAACATTTAATCCAATGGTTTGCCTAAAGGCAACAAGCCGGCTGTCCAGAACGTAGTGCCAAACACGAACCCCAAAGCACCAGCAACGATTTTCATGAATCAAGGGGCGTGGAAGGGGGGGGGGGGCGACACTGAGGCGGAAGGGTTGGGTGGAGGGGTGGGGGGGGGGTGGGTGGGGGTGTTTGCACAAAACAGTGTAAAACGGCATTGCAAAGGCTTCAAACTTGGCTGCAGTTGGCTAGTTTAAAACTGATAATATAGAAATAAGTTACAAATGCGGAAGATTTTCAGTGCTGCGATAATAGAGACATGAAAGCAGCAGCCTGTGTATGTATGTGTGCGTGAGCGTGTTTCTGTGTGTGGAAAGGAATGCGACCCGTGTCATTCTGATCACATCACCTACTAAGTGCAAAGTGGTCTATAAAATACAAGTCTAGCCCTATATGCCCAGTACCCCTAAAGGCGTTGAAGAGAGTCCTTTACCAACTTTTACAACTCAATACGTTTGAATAGGGTTTCCTGGATTTGTGTCTGTGTGCTTCTCATTCTTCAGTTGTTAATTCTACAGACTGCAGACTGAAAACATGGAGAGGAAAAACTAACAACAGCAACAATAACAGCAACAACAACAACAACCATACGGACAACAACAACAAAAAGGAGAGGTCAATAAATAAAAATGTTTAGAAAGGGGATGTGCAGTGGCTAGTGCTCTTGCATATTAAGTCAGTGGTTCCGTCACGTCCTCAGTAAGGTAGCTTTGTGGAAGGGAAGTGGTCGCCTAAACTATGTCATGGCTTAGTAATTGTGAACGCCCATCACTTAAAATCTTTCCGTACCAAACAACGCGCCTTGTGTGACTGCATTTACTCACAGGCAGCAGCAGTGTTGCCACTTTCTTTGACAAAAAACATCCCAAATTGGCAACACTAGGCCAATTCTTCTTGTACACTTCATACTGGTAGTCGCCGTGATTTAGCGGCTAGACGCTCGTCTGCGGATCGTAAGGTCGTAGGTTCGGGTCCTGGTAGTACCAGATTAAAAAAAAAAATGGTCTTGGTTTCCAGGTCGACCTAGCCTTAAATGGGTACCAGGTGGAGTCCTGGCAAGTAAAGACGACTGGCATGATTTTGAACACATCACCGACCGATTGCAAATTGGTCTATAAATTATAGGTCTAGCCCTATATGCCCAATACGCCTGAAGGTATTGAAAGGGTCGTTTACCTCGTTACCTTACTTATATTTTATTTTAGCCAGGACAT